CAGGCTCATGAATCGCTGCTATTTTAAGGGCTTGGAGACGATTTTTCTTAATTTAGCAAGCCCCGGGCCAGGAGCTGGTTCCAAAGGAAACGTTTCCTTAGTGAAAAAGAGAACCGCAGAGGAAGCTGTAAATGCAGCCTCTGCCTCCTTGCCTCACCCTGCAGTGCCCAGGCAGGGACCTGGGAAAGCAGAGCCAGTTCTCAGCCACCAGCAAGAAGGGCACCACGCTGGGTAGCATGGGGAAAACGTGTGTGGATGTCAGGAGCACAGGGATGCAGGGGGCCAGTCAGGGGGACAGGGCAGCTGTGCCCCCCCCAGCAAGCCCCAGGGAGCTGTGACTCCCATCAGCAGCAGTTCCCACTCCCATGGGCACAGGGGATGCTCCATGAGGTCTGGCCAGTGCCAAGGGCAGAGGAACAGCAGCTCACATGGCTCTGCCTGGGCCCATTCGCTACCACACCTGCCTACATAAATTAATCAAAGATAACTGGCTTTTAGGTAAGTCTTCTTTGCAGGAGCTCTGCAAGAAAGACTTTGAAGCAGGGTTGCGAGTGGCAAAACCTTTATTTAAATACACAGTGCTACACATGGGCAGGCTCTCAGCCCCAGCATCACTCCCTTCAGCACAGACAATGTCAATAGGTTAAAATCTTGCTGGAAAACTTTCACTTCCCATTAAGTGCACCCAGTTTATTCACATCTCGCTGATTACAAGAGACAAACAACATTCACCAGAGGTGACACTTGACAAGGGCTGGTTGCCCCCAGCAGGACACAAACCACTGGTGCCACAGAGCCTTTCCAGACACATGAGCATGGCCCAGCACTCCCCATGACCACACCCCTCACATTTTGGAAGGGTGCAACACTCTGCAGAGGCACAGAAAATGCATCCTCTGGGTCAGAAGCGTGATGCAAAATAAGACCCTGTGCTGAGGTGCACTGCTGCTACAGCCCTGCTCAGCACCAGCTTTGAGTATTAAGAAAAAGGAGGGAGTTGCCTTCCCCCGCCAGTCACAACCAAGCTGCTTTCGCTGTGGGTTTCCAGCTCCCAGCTAAGCAGATACCCACAGCACATTTAAGCTGTTAAGCTCAGCTGAACAGGGCTGCGCTGTGTGACACTGCCGCGCAGCAGTGGCCAACTCAGAACCACTCAGAAATACAGACATGCATTCATACGGACTCCTCACACCAAGAAAGGATTTAGACATTTTCCAGCTGAGCTCTCCAGTTGTCAATAAATAATTGGCTCCAGCAGTGACCCAAGGCATGAAGAAGGATGGGGGCAGAAAGTGCACGAGCTCGCTCCTTCCCCATGGCTCTCAGTGCATCACAGTGACTGAGCACTGCCCTGTCCTTCCAACCGGGGGACTCAGACAAGGGACATGGCTGGGATGAAGGCACAAGGGGCTGGAGAGGGCAAGTGCAGAGCTGGGACATCCGTCCCGGGGCTTACCCACCGCCACAACAGGGCTTCACCCCAAGCCATGGACCATCCTGGCCCCTGCACGCAGCCCCAACAGCAGCTTTGGTGTCACCAGTGCAAGCGTGGCAGAGCAGGGGGAAGGTGATTGCAGCTTCTCCAGGTGTGAGTGCCCCCAGTCATTGCATATCGCTGGACCAGTGCATCCATGGTGAGGTGCAAAATATGCAGCAAGAAGCTAGGGAGGATTTTGACTTTTCACAGCAATCAACAAAGTGGCAGCATGAAAAACATCCCTGGAGCCAAATCCCTGCTCTCCTTCCAAGGCTTTTCCATCACCACCCAGGGCTGAGATGCAGCAGGGCAGGGGGATGTGCTGGGGCACAGAGGCTCCTGGTTTCTCACTCTTCTCAGTCGGCTCAGGAAAGAAGTGCTCAGGGAGAGGTGGCCCTGAGGCAGTCCCGTGTCCCGCTCACCTCCATCCAGGCAGGGCAAGCCCCTTTGCCCCAGGATCTCTGGGCATCACTGGGCATCACGTGTAGTTGCCTGGACCACCAAGAGGGACCACGAAGACGGAGATGTCATCGCCGGAGCCCAGCTTGTCATTGGGGAGCCGCCAGCCTCGCTCCTTCAGCACCCCCCGGGACCGCATCACCAGCTCCTGGGCCACCATAGTGTACCTGGGGACATGGCACAGCCACTCAGCAGCAGTCCCAGACCTGCAGAGCCCCTGCCACCACACTGCTCCAAGGAGCATGAAAGATGCTATAAAGCAGGACGTGCTCATCCTCCTGCTCACTCTCAGCTCACCTGCATGGGTCATTGGGCTCATAGCTTGTCAGCACCTCCATCACCACATCGGCTACCTCCTTGTCGTTGGTGACATCCCAGAGCCCATCAGTGCCCAGGACCAGAACATCATCAGGGCAGTGCTCGTACTGTGTCAGGTCGTAAACCCTGACCTGGCCAGGCAAGACACGAGGGTGAGGGGCAGAGGAGGCTCCCAGAGAGCCCAGGTGAGCAGGGACACGGTCACCCCCACCAGCTCTGGCCATCACAGGAACCCCTTGGCACAGAGTGGGGGACAGCCGGGCTTACCTCTGGGAAGCAGGACAGGAAAGGCTTGATGCGGATGTTGGAGCTGAACACCCTGAGGTCGTGGTCTCCCAGACCCCGTGTGACCCCAATCGTGGCCATCACCCGAGCCTGGAGAATTGCGAAACCAAAACAAAACTTTGAGCCACTTCATCTCTGCCTCCATTCCCAGCTGAGAATCAGTGGCATTGGAGCAGCGACAGTATTAGCAAAAACAGGCTGGAAACCCCTGATTCAGCAAGAGCTGGTGGGAAGTGACCTTCACACAGCTCCTGCCACAGCACTTCACCTTTTTGCCTTCCCCATAGATAAGTGGAAACTTCAGGTCATCCTCTTCAATCTTTTTGTAAGCCCTGGTTAAAATAAGCCAGAGACGATGTGTCAGTGGGTGAAGGCTCCAGCACCTCCCCTGCCTGCTTGGGATGCAGCATCCCCGAGATGCAGCATCCCCGGCACAAGGCCTCCTCAAGACCCCGGTACCCAGCACACCATGGCCCCATTACCAGCCGCTCATGCTTTGGTCTCTGTACAGCATCTTCTTCCCCAGCTCCTTGGGATGGATCCTGCGAGGGAACTCGAGGTGCGTGAACTCCTTCCCCAGCAGCTCTGGCCTCAGGAACGCCTGCGGGATGGAGCAGTGGCTCAGCCGTGGGGCTGGGAGAGGAGGACACACAAAGCATCGCCTGCCCTGGCAGCTGACACTGCACACCGAGCCGGGCACCGCCACCATGGTACAGGACCCCCACCCTGCCAGGACCTCAGCTGCGGCTTCCCCAAGGGTGAAGGTTTTATATGGAGAGTTTTGGGAAATAGGGAGCTCAAAAGAGATCAAACCCAGCAAATCCCAGGAGAAGCTGGAATTTGCCCAGGAGGAGTCAGAGCCACAAACCTCCCCAGGCTCAGCACAGGGCATGGGACTCACTCAGGGAAGAGCTCATGGCTCCTTTTGGAAACTGTGTCCTGGCTGCAGCCGCGCCAGGGGATGAAAAGCAGCACAAGCAGCGCCAGCAGGGCTGGGACCCCCGGAGCACAGCGTGCAGGGACTAGGAATAGGGACAGCGCTGGAAAATGCAAATGGAGGAAAAAAAGAGCAGAAAGGAAGGAGAAGAGCTCTTGGAAACACAAGAGGTTCAGTGCAGGGGCAGGGAGAGCCCCGTCCGGCTCTAGGGGTCCGTGACCGCAGCCGGGCACTGCTCAGCAGGCAAATGTGTGCCTGGCCCCTGCACAGCCCCTGTCCGTGCCCGGCCATCACACCCGGCTGGAGAGGATCCTGCTCACAGCGTTTCCTCCTCTCGGTCATTCAAAAATAGACTCGAGAAAAAAAAAACGCCTCGGTGTTTTTCCAAGTACGCTGCAAGCCAGGAAATCGCATCCAGCGAGACCTCCTCCAGCACAAACGCCTCCTCCTCCGGGCTGCCGTCACAGAGGGCTTCATAACCTTACAAAGTCTCCCTGTGTGCCCCGGGGGGTTTGTCCAGGCCAGGCAGGAGCGGGAGCTTTCAGGGAGAAAGATGGAAACCGGTGGCAACGTCAGCTCCTGCTCCCCGGGGAGCAGCGGGGTAGAAATCAGGACGCGGCGCAAGAGCTGCAGCTTCTTCGACCGCGCAGGGACCAGGACGGGTGCAGAGCACCGAGCCACACTCGTCCCCGTCACCGCCCGGTGTCAGCCCCGTGCTCCCGCAGCAGCAGTCGGGCGCCAGCCCGGGCATGCGATACCCCCGTTCCCCGGGCAGGAGCAGGACAACATAGACCCAACCGGCTCCGTGCAGCCGTACCGAACCGGCCCTGCGCTGAGAGCCCGGGATCGCAGGCACAGCCTCTCACACCGACCCCGCGGCAAACTGGGGCTTCCCCAGCCACCAGAAGCCCCCACAGCGGCAAGCGCCAGGGAGGGGGGGCAGCAGGGAAGAGGTTGAAAGAAAGAGCTCTTTCTTACTAAAAACTGCAGCCTCTGCCTCTCTGTCTCTGGAGTAAATTCCCTGGACATTGGAATGATTTCCCCGTTACGGATGATAATGGCCCTGCAATGAGACATGTAAGGATGAGGTTAGCGAAGAGGGGATGTGGTGGGGGAGCCAAGCCCAGGTCTCCAGGGCTGACCCCTGCACAGCTGCCCAGGCGGTGCAGCCCCTGCCCCCCACTGCCTGCCTCCTTCCCAGCCCCAAACTGGGGGCTGCTCACTGGCCCCACTGCAGGTAACGCCCCTCCGGTCCCCAGGCAGAGCATGCCCCCCTGGCAGGGCATGTCCCCCCTGCAAAGGACAGGGAGGAAGGGAAAATGGAAAAGAGGGGATGACGCAGTGCAAAACGGGTACAGTCACCCAGCCCACACCAGCACTGCAGCTCACTGCTGGAGCCAGTCTGATCATCTGATGTGTTCAGAAAACAGAAGTCTGATGATGTGATGTTTCTGGATGTCATGGGGGATATCGAGGATCTCCACACTGGTGGCCCAGCTGTCCCACAGGCCTCCTCAAGGGTGCAGGGCCCTGCTGAGCCCAGCTCCAACAGCATCTGATCTCCTTGGGACCCTGTGCATGCTGCCATCCCGCACAGCCAGCACGCAGTCAGGTCACTGCTGCCATGGAGGAGTTCCTCACCCGAAAGCAGAGGCACGAAGGGTCTCCTCCTCCTCCTCTGTCCCAGAGCTGGAAGCACATCCTCCAGCCTCAGATAATTTACCAGAACCTGCATTTGCTGGCCTGACATCACCGAGGACAAGCTCACCCTGCAGTAAACAGTGCAATTCAAACCAGCTTCACTCTTAGCATGAGCTACAGCAAAACCCCCAGGGAAATGCATGTACCAGGCAAAATCCTTGGGCTGGTCCTGCTGCCTCTGCCCTCTGGGACAGCCCAGGGATGCTCCTCATGGCCATGCCTCCAGCACCGCCCTATCCTACCGGGATGCTTACAGGGTGAAAGGCAGGGGCTGCCCGGGGGGGTGCTGTACCTGCTGTCGCCGGCATTGGCCACATAGAACTTGCCCATGAGGTACACGGCAGCCAGGGCGCAGCAGCCCCCGGACAGGTGCTGGGATGCTCGCTCCTGCTCGATCTGGTCATCCTGGGGAGACAGAAAGCAGCTCAGGCAGGGCAGGGGGCCTCATGCCAGTCAGCAAAGCAGCCCAAAACAGCACCCAGCTGTTCCAAAGCCATCCTGCAGTCCCCTCTTTGCCACAGAGCTGCTTTTTGTGGGAGAAGGACAGGGCAGTGCAGACACAGACACCAGAGATGCTTGCTGGGCAACCCTGTAGGTGGGGGCTCGCTCACCATGTGCTTGAAGGCATTTTCAATGGCACCGATCACCAGGCTCTCATGAGACACCACTTTCTCCAGGTGAAACCGTGGCACAGCATCGTTGGGGACCTCCCCATCATCTTCTGCAAGGGGTACCTGGCTTGGCTCCACAGTGCTGGCCCTGGCATCGTGCGGGAGACAGATGGGAGGTGGGGAGGGGTCCTGCAGGATGTCCACGAGGTCCCGGAGCTGATCGCAGATGTGCAGGTGGAGCCGCTTGGATGACAGGACAGCAGCACCGCTGCCTGCGTGGCCATCAAACAGGGCCCAGTAGTGGAAATAGAAACCCTTCCTGCCCTGCAGAGAGAGAGGGGAGATTTAGGGAACCTGCGAGAAAGCAGACGGGGCGGGGAATTCGGAGCAGCTGGGGTCACTGGCTGAGGACACGGACACAGTGCTCTGCCTCAGTCCCACAGGTGCCAGCAGGAAGGAGCGATGCAGGCAGCTGACAGAGGGGTCTGGACAGGACAGTCCCTGGCACAAGCCCAGCCCTGCGTCACCCTGTGCTGCCAGCACCATGTCCTCAACAGCCGGCTCCTCCAAAGAGGAGGCACGACAGGGCCAGCACGGCAGCCAGCTCCCACCCGCAGGCCAGTGGCCTCCCCAGGCCAGCCCTGGTGTGGGCCAGCAGGAACGATGGCAAGAGCTGGCAGGGAGCAGGGGCAGCTGGCCTGGGACGCGAGGGAATCCCTGGGGACACGGCAGGGCACACATGGCCACGTGCCCCATCTCATGCCTTGCCACTGGGCACCCTCCCGGTCACGTCCCCACCTGCACACACACCCCAGCTCTCACCCCATCCAGCTCCCCAACGCCTTCCCTGGACGGCAGCTGACCCCTCGGGCTGGGTCTCCTCTCCACAAACACCACCTCGCAGCACGCCTGGTCCTCGTTGTGCTGACTCTTCCCTGCATTTATCACCCTGCCAGGAGGAAACAAAGCGTAAAGGCTCTTTCTTTCACATCACACAGCAGCAGAGCCCACCCTGCACACCTCACTCCCCTGACCCTCGTCCCTGCCCCTGGGTTGCTCCACAAGTGCTTGTGTCCTGTCTGGGGCAGCAGCAGCCAGGCGAGATGTCCCCTCACATCCAGCACCTCTCAGAGGTGCCTCAGAGAAAGCAATGAAGATAAAACCAGCAGAACTCTTACAAAAAGATTCACACTAACTTTGCACAGCCCATGCTGGCATGGCAGATTTCAGGTCTAGATTGCAAAACTTGCTCACGGGAAGAAGCTGTAAATATGCATTTTGGGCACAGGCTTTGCAAGTGGTTTGCAGAAAGAAGTCTCGGGAGACAAAAGAGAAGTGTTGCTCCTGAGCAGGGGGTGATTTTTGCTCTGAGTGGTTTTTGCTCTGGGCACTCCTGCCCCAGTACCTCCTGGGGCAAATTAACATCTCAAAAATCTCCCTGGAATATCAGGAAGCTCAGCTCGAGCAAGGGATGTAGAAGCAGACAGACAGCACTGAGCAGCAAGGGTGGCCTTCAAAGCCCGACCTTCCCCACCAGCCAAGTCAAGGGTGAAATCGCAGCC